ACAAATCAAAAACGTAATTGATAGCGATAGCCATAGCGATCAGTTTAGGCGATTGGCCTCTGGTTTTACTATAGTCTACACAAAATAAATAAAGGCTAGTTATTATTATTATTAGCCTAACATTTAGAGTCAGTGCCATGCCAACCTAAGCAGTAAATGGCAACTCAATCAATCTATGAATATACATGGCACCAATTCCAAATGATAATTTGACTTTAAATGTATATATAAGTATAGAATATGCTATATTTCTTACTTTTTGGTAGATTTGATATTAGTACAGATAATATTTAATATATCTGAATCTTAACGGAAATACACACATCAAAAGTGTCTAGGGATCAAGCATTTTTATGCGGATTTCTTGAGATTGAGATGTGGCTTTGTAATAAATTTATGATTTTATAAATTTATATGGATCCTTTTTGGTGCATTTCATAATTTGAATCAGGAACTGTGAATCAAATTCGAGTAAAAGATGAAAATCAGCTGTCAATATTTTCCCTATAAAAACATACAACGCATTGAAGACATTATTAGTGCTACTGTTTCCCTACTACTGATTAAAACCAACGTTATTATGGAGCGGCGACGTCATTTAAGCAGGGAAGAAATGCTCAGAGCCGTGGGAATGATAGAAGCTGGTTCCCGGCAACGTACTGTGGCTTTAGCTCTGAATACAAGTCAGAGTGTTATCAGTCGACTTTGGACACGATACCGAAGCACTGGTACCGTGGCTGAGCGCCATGGAGGACGGTATCGCTGCACCACACGGAGACAAGACCGATACATTCAAATCTTAACTCGAAGAGCTCCAACAATAACCGCCATGATGTTAGCCGTGAGGCTTCATCACTCTTCAGGGAACTTAATTAGCGACCAAACAGTCAGAAACCGCTTGCATGAAGTGAACCTTCATTCCCGAAGACCGCTACGGGTACCACCTATAGCAATGCACAATCGTAGGATTCGATATCAATGGGCTCTTGAACACAGAAATTGGGCAGAAGAACAATGGCGTTTCGTGTGCTTTTCTGATGAGTCTCGTTTTGGTATGAGACCGGATACAAGACGTATACGACACTGGAGAACCCCTGGACGCCAACAGCGATTAAAATCCTGCCAGGAAGTCCATCCTTATAGTGGTGGAACCATCATGGTATGGGCGGGTATTTGGATCGGCGGAAGAACTGAGTTGATTTGGATCAGAGGCAACCTCAACGCTCAAATTTATGCTGAGACGATTGTATCAGACGTCATCGTTCCTCTACAAGTGCAAATCGGTCCCTTATTTCAGTTAATGCATGATAATGCACGACCGCACACCGCAAGAGTTGTAAGACAGACTCTCGCCGCAGCTAACATCAATGTCCTGCCCTGGCCTGCTCAGTCGCCAGACTTGAACCCGATTGAGCATGCATGGGATATGCTACAGAGAAGAGCTCTGCCGAATATGGAGGGTATCCAGTCGCAAGAAGACCTTTTTTTGTTGTTGCAACGAACATGGGCGGCCATTCCACAGCGTGATTTGGATGAACTCATTTTGAGTATGCCAAACCGATGTTCTTGTGTTGTTAGTGTTCGCGGTAGAAATACGGATTATTAATTGTTTAAGTTACCCAATAAAATTTTAGAGAAAACTGTTATTTCAGTCTTTTTTTCGAACTTTTGTGTTAGTGGTTCAAATGTCAAAAATCCCTTTATTAGGAAAATGGCAAATTTCTTTATTAATGCAAAGGTGACTTGGTTTATCGTTACTGTGACAAACGAAAACACTTTATTTGATGAATCCTTAAAGAAAATTTTAATTAATATCAATCAGGAGAAAAGTTATTGCAAAAATATATGTTGATCCCTAGACACTTTTGATGTGTGTATAATTTTGTTTTTGTTAATGCGTAAAGTTTTTTTGACGTGACAACGTCTTAAATTAGGTTGCGGCTGGGAGTCACTTATGAAAAAGTGTAACGCTCGGTAACGTTACGATGAGTCTCTCGTGTTAAGTTTAAGTTTACATGTACAATGTTTTAGTAAACAAAATATATTTCTATAGTTAAAATTTGTGCAATTCTTATTTTCATTCAATTCCTTGTTCCTATTGTGCAATTTAATTATATTCATATCAATAAATATTCTACCGAGAAAAAGACGTTGTCACGTAAAATCTTCGCCCGTAAAACCGACTTTACAGGCAACCATTTTTTTTACTTTATTAAGGTTCACAAACAGGTAACATACTTATAACCATAATATGTGTTTTTATAAAGAAGAAAGTAAGTGTCATTGAACGCCTTATCACAATATATATACATACTGTGGCCTTTTTGATGTGAACACAATAAAAATCTACACTGATCATTTGGAGTGAGAGAATCAGATTGTTTATTGCCACGAAGTACTTAAAAGAGGTTATTTAATTAAATTTGTATTTTATTAAAATGAAATTTTAATAAAAAAAGTTTTAATATTAAACATAGTTTTAGGTGTGATAAGCAACATGAATGTTGGTTGAAGATGTTTGTTATCAGACAACAATGGTCAGGTCATTTGCGATGCCAACGATTATGAGAAAGCGGCTCTTGGCTCTGTACCTAGGCACTACTTAGAATCATCAATAGAAACTCAAGACAGCAATTAAGTACAGTTTTTTCCACTAAGTATGACGATAAGTATATTTAAAGTTTTTTTTTTCTAGTAAAATTTTCCTTTGATTTGAACATCCAGCAGTAAAATGCTTAAAAATATATATATCGATAAGTATCATCATCATCATCATCACCTGCCTATTAATGTCCCCACTGCTGGGGTACAGGCCTTCCCTATGGATGGAATAGGGAGATTGGGCCATGACCCACCACGCGGGCCCAGTGCGGATTGGTGGGTGCTAACGACTGCAGATGCAGCCGGGACCAACGGCTTAACGTGCCTTCCGAAGCACGGAGGAGCTCGAGATAGTAATTTTTGGTCACCCATCCAATGACCGACCACTGCGAAAGTTGCTTAAGTTCAACGATCGCAGCCGAACGCGCTAACCACTTGCGCCATCGAGCTCCTCAAGCTCGTTAAGTATATCGTTTCAGAACAAATGAAGAACAGCTTACACTCAAACCTAATTAATCAAATTAAATTTCAAAACATGAATCCCAATACACAAACATAGAGGTAATTTACGTTTAGCGAGAATGGCAATAAAAAATGTACTAATCGTGTGAAATTATCCTAGTTGGTGAATAAAGAGACCTAGTCATTAAATGTAGATTATTCTGTCCAAGAAATCGACTTGAATCTTACTAGTTTATAGTTTCCTCCAAGTATCGGGCTCGTGATCTAGCTGTTATCGTTTAAAAGTGGTAGACCGCTAAGTGTTGGCTTTGAAAAAGTTTAAAATAAAAGTGTAATAAACTCCATGCAAAGAAAAGAAACATTAAACTGAAGAAAGTGTAACTGGTAAGAGTCGAATCATGTATGACACATGTAATTCACATGCAATTCACATATAATTCTTGCAAAGGTTATTGTCCATTTAAATATGTACGTGCCGGTTTCAGCCCTGTTCAGAAGGTATAGGGGTTATGAGCGTAACCTTGCGTCTAGTCTTCGTCCAACTAAGTCTAATTAACGGTACCTTAGTAGTAAGGTACAGACGAGAGATTGGGCTTATTTGTTTCTAAGGTTTTCACGCACATCACTCATTAAATAAAACTAGTTTTTACGGGTTTATATTATATAAAATAAAAGTCTCTAAAATAAATTTATTTTATAAAATAAAAGTCTTTCGAAGGTAGCTCGACAAATTTAATAAAAGTTTGATTCTGACGACGTAGCCTGTAAAGGCTACGAAACGTCAATAAATAAATAAAGTTTCGTGCATTAACCCGTAAAAACTAGTTTTATTCATTGGGCTTATTTTTGCTTCTTTTACTCACCTGTTATGTATTTTCAAGAAAATGTGAATAAGATTTCTTTACAGTTATTTATGCAATGTTGAATACTACCTAGTACTTACAATCGATCTAAGAATAGAATACTTTCGCTCTTTATTTGAAAGTAAGTTCAACAAGTTGTATCCCGCCTATGATTTCGATCTCATATGCTATGGCTCTCGAATAATGTTACTGTTTTTATAACAATATTTATTTATTTCTCTCATACAAACTCAAACTCAAAAAACTCAAACTCACACATTTATTCAATCTAGACTGTTACATGCTCTTGTGAAAGTCAAACTCTATTAAGGCTCATCACAGACGACTGACTTTTGAGCGATTCATGCATGGAAACGCAACAAAAAAATGTTGATTATCTGTAATCATGTTTATGTAGGTACTTAAAAATTAAGAAACGGCTCTAAGTACGGCATAACCTGCCAATATTATAAATGTGAAATACAGTATAGGTAGTTACAATAGATTAGTCTGCTGTTAATATCTATAACTGTTGCACTATTATTTTATTTAACTATGTGTATATATTTATTTTTTAGTTTATAATGTAGTTTTATTCGTTTAAATCTTTTCAAAATAAACAATGCATCTTTCGCGCGTATTCCTAATACGAACGAAAACTACGAAAGGAGGTTAATGCTCAAACAAAGATTATTACTATGTATTATATAAGCTTAGGATGACTTGGTAATAAGCGCGTGAGTGCCCAAATTATTATGTTAATGTTAAACTTCTCCGGAAAAGCACTGTTAAATATAAGTGTTTTCTTCCGTAGTGTAATTGTTATTTGAGGAAAATTTAACACTTACAGAGCTTATGAGATACAATAAGTAGTAAGAAATTCAAACTCAGTTCTTTTACATACTGCCATTGTTTCGTAACGATGTTAAAAATGAGTGCATTTTTCGCCAATGAACTGCTAATAAGTTACGCGAAATTAAAAAAAAATATATAAAACACTAACAATTATAATGGAAAAATATATAAAAACAAACGTAAATGCTATTAAAAGTTGTATACTTAGATACTTATATCTGCACCTACCTAAAAACCAACCTGTGTTAGCAGGCTTCTGCTTATGCTTCTTTATTTTATTTTGCTGAAAAAATGTCGATATCCAGCCAGGATTCTTTGGTGGGCAGGTAGTAGTTTTCCTTCTGATAGGCGCCTTGGTCGTTTTAGTGGGTGTCCGTACCGGCTTGACTACGGGGCGCCTGGATGTGGTAGGCGGGCGGCGCGTACTTGGGCGGCGCGTCGAAGGCGGGCGACGGGTCGTCGTCGGTCTTTTCGTCGGACGCGGGCGTTCAACGTCCGATGCACCCACATACACATAATCTTCACCAACATTCACTACTGCGCCCTGGCCTTTTTTTATCGAATTGTACAATACAGGGCGTTTTGTCACTATAAAGTTCGTATGACTCGCTATATTAATGTGCGTAGTTTTGAAAACTTTTTTCCTAACATCTTCACTTTTAGACATGTTTACTTTCGGGGATTTGGTCTTTAGTATGATTTTTGCACTGGGTTTCACGGTTCTGGGTGGTTTTGTTTCGAAGGACTCCTCGTATTCGTCCCAGAGCGAGAAGGGGTCGAGGGATTCGGAGTCGGAGATGTCTGAGGAGTGTGGGTGTGGGTGCGGGGGCCGCGCGGCCGCCGCGCATGCCAGCAGCGCGAGCAGCGCCAGGCGACGCGCCATGGGGCGAGCGTGTGCGCATGGCGAGGTGCGCGAGCACTGTCCGACCCGCAGCGCAAGCCGGCTGCGGCTGCGACCACCTTCCCTGCCACTGTCATTATGCGATGTCGCTTTCGATGCGCCCGCCTGCAATGCAACCACTAGCCCACTAGGTCAGCCCGCCCGTTCCGCCATTACTCTCTACTGTGTTCATTTTAATTTATTATAACAAATTATTACTAACAGAAATAAGTCACTTACGCTCATTAGACCGAGTCAATAGACTTTCAAACGTGATGTGCAATATGTTTTATTGTTCATGAAAGAAATCGTGCGGTATGTTTAGCTGTTGTGAATTGCAGATTCCGATTATTAAATTTAATATAAATTACTGATTGACCTGGGTACTAATTTATATTTGTACCCAGGTCAATCAGTAATTTATAAGCAATCCGCAATCTGGGTATAAATAAACGACGAAAATTTATTGCTAAAAAATATTTGGCAGATTCTCGCTGATTTCATTCATTTTATGGCCTTTTATAGATCTTCCCTTGGTGTTTTCGCATCGCACATGCTTTGGTCATTTAAGTACTTAAGAATCGGAGCAGCATATCGTACGTGATGTTGATAAATAATATTATTTTTTCTTAAATGTCGTGGTTGCAAATAGCTAAGTACTTTCTAATTCGGTAACAATGTTATTGTGCAATGTCACATCTTGAATTTTCTAGCTAAGAAACCATTAGAGAAAAAATCCTTTCTATTGAGGTGTTGTTTCCTCTATGCAAAGATTCATGTCACGATAAAATGTAATGAACAGAGAAACTTTCCACTAGATCAACCATTTATGAGATTTAACAGCCGTCCTGTTAGAATGAACATAGTAAGTGAAATAATTGTTCCGTTTAACTTCAAATAAATATATCCTATTTAATTTAGGAACTAGGAACTATTAATAGAGCTGTTTTTGCATAAAGTTAGTACCTACCAATGCAACTGCTATAAAATGGCGGTGATAAACTATGATATTTATTTATATCCATACATATATGTATAAATAAACTATCTATGCCCTGTGGTTTCATCCACGTTAATTTGAGGAAAATGTTTATAGTTAACGTTAATGTTAGAAGCGTACAATTTTGTTACACACGATTTTTATGTAACTTAAACCGTTTTCGCAGTGGACGCAAAGAAAGCAGTCAAACACAATAAAACTCTTATTTCCCCTTTTTGGTACATTATTCATTAATGCTCCTCCTATTGGTCGTAGCATCATGTTAAATATTTTCTAGCCTTCCAACGATATTAAATATATCGTTGTAGCCTTTCTCTATAAATGGACCATCCAATACAATCATATTTTTTAATCGGACCAATAGGGTCAAAATTTTTTCCTGAGATAATTATCTCAAGTGAGTTCAACGAACCAAACTAACTCTACCATTATCCATCCTAATCCATACTTCCATACTACGAGTAATATTAGAAATGCAAAAGTGTGCCTGTGTGTCTGTCTATTACCGTTTCATACATAAACCGGTAAACTGATTTAGATAAAATTTGATAAAGAGATAGTCTGTGTTCCGAGGCAGGACATAGGATAGTTCTTATCCCAGAAATCATTCTTTAAGAGAGTGGAATGTGGTGTGGAAGTTTGTATGGAAAACCAATTTTTCCACGCAGACGCGGGCGTCCACTTGTATTATAAATGCGAAAGTTAGTCTGTCTGTTACCTCTTCACGCTTGAACTACTGAACCGATTTAGCTGTGGTATAGAGATAGCAGGAATCCCGGGAAACAACAAAAGATAGTTTTTATTCCAGAAATCACCCTCAAACAGGGGAGACCACATTTTCATTGTGGGTGCGTCCTGGCCGGAGGCGTCTCGGAATGGGTGCATATCGGCCGGGCCCAAAGGATACCTTTAGTGTAATGTAGTATACATTAAGAGCACATGACATGGTTCACTTGGCGTGACGAGGTGCAAACACAGGCTATCAGTGCAATAGCACACTTGTCACGCGACTGTTGACTGCACTGTTTGACCATTGCCATTAGCATAGCGTACATCCTGTAATATTCAGTTTCCTTTGGATCATTAGCTTTCTAACAAACTTCGATGTTTGGCTCAGTGCACATTGGGGGCGCAGAAAACCACACCGAACCACGCACACAAAGCAATATGTATAATGCGAATAAGATATAATATTCCTTCAAAGTTCATGAAAAGCACTATCATCATGAATTTTTCCAGATTTGGGGGGTGGGGGGTGGCCCTACTCGAACAAATATTTGCATTTTAAAGTGTAATATTTCTCAAAAGGATCCCTAAATCGATAATTAGTCTTAGTAACCCTTAAGTCTAAGGGTTGAACATTTAAAAAGGACCTTTTTCAAAGATACTCTACACGATTGGGTAGACTTTGAACAAAAACATCCCCACTTTACATATAGGGGAACTACCCCAAAAAAAAATTGCAAAATTTTATTATACATCGCTCATCTCATCCCTCCCCTACACATAACGTCGGGATGATTTCTTTTAGAATAAAAATGACATCAAAACAATATTTATCGTTGTTTAGGATTTGGTTTTTATTTTGATATTAGTTTGTTTTATAATGGTGGTTTACTATGTGTGGTATTGTTTACTCTTTCAGTAATTTTAGCGTTATTTGCAAATGCATACGGTTCGAATCTTCTTTTTGCTTTTTGTAATGGGCAACTTTGGTACCCTACATTGTTCGCCCCGCATGACCTACCCGACACGCACTAGGTCAGTTTTTTGCATCGTTATTTTCAGAACATTTTGCCAAAACATTCTTATTAAGTACCTAAGTGAACGTTTTAAACCAAATTTTCCACTCGATCTAGAGCAAATAACGTCATCTGTGTTCGTAGACAATCTTTGTGGCTATCTTTCTATTATTAACTTTAAAGTTTCACACCAACCTTTATATTCTCTATAAAAAAATCTGAAACAGTAATCTAATTGCCAACATTAAAACAACCAATGTCCTAACAATTATAATATTGGTTATATTTAATTTTTTTAAGCACTGAACTCAGCGCCGCCGCTTAGATTAGTGAATTTCGACAAAAAAAAATTAAAAAAAACGAAAAGAATACGCATGTCGCCATGTGTGGGAGCGTGCGGTAAAATGTTTTACCGCGCGCTCCGCTGGATGGCTCTAAATTTTGATCTTTCGAACAATGTATAGAACCTCCGTAAATGCATTTTTTGAGCAAATGTGTTGAAAATATAGTTATAGAAACTATTAAGTAATCTTTATTTATAGTGCCAGTATAATACTTTTTATATATACCTAGTCCAGCCATAAGTTCTGTTACAAATGAAAATGCATATTTTTAATGATGTAATGTAATATTATTAAAATTTATACCTACATATTTATTAAAGTAGTAAAAAAATGGCCACCTTTGGCCACAGGCCTTTAATCTGTTTGGGCACGAATCTATGGTTTTCGCACTGTTTCCAAGGGAAATTTTACCACTACTTGCTCCAAAGATTTTTTAAGAGACTCTAAAACTGACCATAATATGAAGTGTAAAGGGTTGTTTTCTGGGCTAGATAAGGGCCAGTCTTCAGCTATTATAAAGTCCGAAACGTTGGTTACTAGCCAGGCTTGGGTAGCTCGTGCCTTGTGACCAGGTGCAGAATCCCACTGGAAAGTCCACGGTATATTTTTGAAAAGAGTATTGCTGAGAAGTTTCACAACATGCTTCAAGATTGTATCTTGATACACTTTGGCTGAAGTTTTCACTCCTTTTTCACAAAAATGTAGTTTTGTGACTCCTTGATAAGACACGTCCCACCAAACCATCACTGACGCAGGATGATGACCACGTGGTACCTTTCCGACATCTTGAGCAATTTCTTTAGAACTGTGAGCGTACATTTTAATATTTTGCTTATTGTAGTGTTCTGCAATCGTAAAATTTTTTTCATCGGGAAAGAGGATATCTGTGTTTTCACCTGTGTATCACGACAGAAGGCGTTTTGATCTCTCTCTTTAATTGTAAATATTGATTTAGGGCATGTCCTGTATATCGGCGATTAGCTCCAAGCTTCAAGGTCTTGTTTTACAATACGTGACAGAGTCCTAGATGGAATCTTCATTTCTCGCAATAAGATTTTTTTCTTCCTAATGGGGTTTAGACGTATTCTGACTTTAACAGCATTAACAGCCTTTGTAGTTCTAACAGCACGCGACCGCCCGGATCTTTTCTGGTCTTCGACAGACGAAGTGTTGTTGTATCTGTTGGTAGTACGATATATGAACATACGGTCGATACCAAGCTTTTGAAGAGTCTGAAATATGACCGACGGTTCCTTACCCACTTTGTGCAAGATGATCACTGCAATCTTATTTTCTTTAACACCCTATTCCTTAATGTAATTTAATAATGATCACGAAACAATATGTGAAATGGCGCAAAAGTGAAAGAAGTTTTAAAATGATATACTTTTTTAATTATTTTGAATCTGGATGTTCCAGATTCAAAATAATTAAAAAATTAAATTTAAAAAATAAAATGCCCGACTGCTTAAATATTACTTCAAATAAAAACTGAAAAGAAAAAACAAGTCCAGTAGTCTATAATTCTGTTAAGTAATGGACAAAGCTACTTTAACAGTCGGGACCCATTATTGAAAAACTTTGAGCCATCCTTGAATATCTAATGGGAATAGACTACTGGCCTTTTTTTTTCCTTTCAGTTTTTATGTAAAGTAATATTTAGCAGTCGGGTATTTGGATTTTTTAAATTTACCTTTTTTATTTCACACTTTTTAGTGTGGATCATAAGACGGTATATCAGCAGTTTGTCACTTCAGTAAGGGAGATAATATCTCTGGGATTATTAAGTACCTTGCGGTGATCTAAACTATTGATTTCTTTAGACATATAGAGACCTTACTACCAGGGTCAAGGCCAAATGGGCCTCAATTTTCGCAAAATGTGTGAAATTAAACCAAGTCATTACCTATATATCTAATGCATGTAAATTATATAGTTAACTAGTACTTATTTTCCGTACTTATTCAAAAAGTCATTTTTTGCTTATGTTCTTATTAGTAGTTTAGGAGTAAATATAATATTAATTTACTTTTATTTGTCGACTATCTAAAATTGGCAGTGGCTGGCTACGGCTCTAAGATTGTGATATACACAAATGCAGTGTCATATACTTGTCTCTGTCTAGAAACCAATTATGTAGATGCCAGAGGTTTATCATCC